ATAAAAAAAAAACATTATAAAAATGAATTATAAGCGTGATTACTCTTCAGTAAAACATCGAGATGACTCTGTCTATTCCATTACTTCTATGAAGCGAGTGAAAACAAGACAAGGTAAATATTTATCATGGAATANAATATATAATTATATATACAGTACCTAATTTATATATAATTAATATATAATTATATGTACAGTACCTAATTTAGATATAATTTATATAATACTGTCCAGACGATAGAAATCTCTCCGTAGCGTGGCGCTATGGACGGCGGGAAAGTAGTTCGGCTGCCCGATGACGTTTGAGGTGTTTATAGGGAACTTTTACTATTTTTTACGGATACCGGTAGCAATTTTTTAGTAGTTTTATAGGAATCGTAATTATAGGGACCGTAATTATAGGAGGGTTGACTGTACCCGATGATGAGTGGCCGCCGTATCTAATAGTACATACTATACCTAAATATTTCAAGCGGATTATATTTGGATTATATTTTTGGCTGTTCTTTTCTTGGCATATTTTGGATTGCATTTGCTTATACCTAATTAATAATAATACCTAATTAAACTATACCTAATTACTATACCTAAAAACTATACCTGATTAATAATAATACTTCTTAACGCGATCGAAGCCGCGGGCAAAAGCTAGTAAAATAATAATGGTAATGATGAAGTCTAGTTATTCCTTGTCACTTGTTTGCCGGTTTTGACCTATAGAGTCCTCAAAGTCGGAAATAGAGAGAGTATATCTTTACTTGTTTTTTAACTAAAAATTTTTATTTTTAGTACTTTAATATAATATATACCGATCCCATTGGTTTTTACTAATTGAACGTCTGAAATGTTAGCAATTTAATACACCTAATTACTCAATGAAGACTAAACGTAGTTGAAAACAAAAAATCGCATCTAAAATACTACAGTAAAAGCCGTTCTTCCAATTAAGCCTTAATGCTCTCCTTCTCCCCCCGCGGAAGAATTTCGAAAAATCCCTTTTTGGTGTGATTCTCATGGCATACCTTACTACAACGCAGATAGCGGCCGAATGGCAGAGCAGTCAAAGTAGCAGCCCAACGCTCTGGAAGACTCGGGTTCCAATCTGAACGGGTTGAAAAATCCCCATGAATTTTTCGGGGGATGGACCGTCCGGATATGTCGGGCTTCGTCCCTCACCACCCGGCAGCCCCATTGTGGGCCTGGCTGAACCCATAATGGGCTTGCAAAAAAGCCCTCTTAGTGCCCACAGGGCGGAGAGAGTTTAAAAAAAAAAACTACAACGCAGGTAAAAACAAAAATCGCATCTAAAATAGTACAGTATAAGCCGTTCTTCCAATTAAGCCTTAATGCTCTCCCTCTCCTTCCGCGGGTGAATTTTCAACAATCCCTTCTTAGTGTTCGTGTCCATGACGTATCCTGTGTACCAAATTTCATCGCTTTAGGTTCAGCGGTTTGCCCTGGGCGATGATGAGTCAATCAGTCAGGACAAATAATTTTATATACAGTATTTACATAAATTCCGGCTTCGTCACTACATCAGCCTTGCCGAATTAAATATTTGCAAAAATGAGGTTTAATGGTGATGTGGTTGTTTAAACTTCGATCAAACAGATTTTAAACTGGCAAAACACTTTCTAACTTATGAAGAGCTCGACTCAATCAAGAAAGTTCTCATAAGGCTGAAACAACCTTCTGTAATTTAGCCATATGACAAATTTATTATTACTTTTTACAAATTCGTTTTCTGGTGATGTAATTGATATACTGTCTGCAATAATTATTGTTTCAAGCCTATCCCAATGTTTTTGAAAACGTTCTTCAATAATGCAATAATATTTGAAGACATTATCAGAAATATATTTGAATCCATTCATACTTGTATGTTCTGCGAAGACATTTCTATTTTGTTTAGCCCACCACTAAACACTAGTTGTGGTAGTTGGTCGTGGGTTTGCGCCTGGCAACGGGCTGGCTACGTAGAGTTTTCCGAGTTTTCTTTACGTTCGTAACACCTAAATAGGTGCCTATTTCCCATAAAAGATTTCTCGGAAGGCATTACCCCTCGGCAGATTGCCCACGTGTCGCGTTTCCATAATCGAATAAAACCAACCACTTGGAAATAAACAGAGACACATTCACGTTTAATAATTCAATATCTGAAACATCAATTAACACTAATATTAATAAAATTAAATTCTATAAACATACTTGAAGTCGCTTAATCTTGCTATAATTTATTAGCATATTAATTTAATTAATTAACATAAATGAAAACTCATGTTTTTATTTAGGTCAATTTTGTTTTTTTATTAGGTCAATTTTGTTTTTATTTAGGTCAATCGTAATCATACGCTTTCATATGTTAATCGTCTTTTGTTTATGTAAACACATATGCTTTTCAATTATGACAATATTTATTGACCTCATTTGTTCTTTAAAATTTTTTAAAAAATGCATTTTATATTAGCATATTAATTTAATTAATTAACATAAATGAAAACTCATGTTTTTATTTAGGTCAATTTTGTTTATCGTAATCATACGCTTTCATATGTTAATTGTCTTTTGTTTATGTAAACACATATGCTTTTCAATTATGACAATATTTATTGACCTCATTTGTTCTATAAAATTTTATTATAATTAACAACAATTAAATCATTAATGGAATCATTATTGTTGTTAATTCTAAGAACATTGAATAAATATTTTGTCGTGCTTTTAGNTTTATGATTCTGATTGTACTTGTGATGGTTTATCGTGCTAAATTTACATTTGTATTATGATTACCTAGCGTTAACACGTGGCTATAAAGGCGATAATGGCGTTAGAAAATGGTGGTGGTGTTATTAATTTTGCTAGAAATATATTTAGAAATTATGTAATAATTCTTCTTTAATTGCAAATTTATGATGGAAGTCAGAAAGACTATCCAAGTTCTCTGTAATTAATGAAAGACGAGTTAACTTCTCAAAACGGGAAACCCAAAACAAATACCACAGTTTTTATCTTTGTATCAGAAAACGGAATTTTATTTTATCATATTTTCTAGCGTAGAAAAAAAATGAAATATTTTTAAAAAATTTCACTGTTTTATTTTTATATCTTTTTTATGACTGTTTATTTTCTGAGTTAGTGTTTAGAATTAAGAACACGTTATTTTGCCGTTTTCTTATACATAAATATTAGTAAATAATAAAATAATTTTATAAATATATGAATTAATATTTTTGGATTTATAAACATCGCAACAAAAGCATTTTAAGAAAATTGAATAAATCTTTACAGGTATCTCCTTGTATAACACGGTAATTACGTTACGAAAAAATCCGTGTTATGCGAATCCATGCTTACACGAAACAAAGGACTAATGCAAAACATAGGGTTAGGTTTCAGATGTTAGCAAAAGTATACAATTCTTTTTCGTTACTAAGAGAAATATGCTTATTAAAGCAATTGATAATTTACTTCCAATCAATAATTAATTAACAATCTTAACTTTCACAACAACACCTCATCTGGCTGAGAATTATTTATTAACCGTAACGAACGTTTTCAGCCTATTCTACAGGCAATCTTCGGATTTTTAAAAATTATAGAACATTGATAACTGTTCTTTTTGTATAGAACAGTTAAAAACATATTTAAAATACAAAATTGTTTGGAGTATTGAGCTATTTGAATCCAATGAATAATAACAGTAATGTATATACAATTATAAATAACAAAATAATAAAATGGGTGGAAAGAAAATAAAAAAAAAATTAAGTTTACAATATCAGTTTTTGATTGCATGGACATTTTGTACAATTTTCTAATAAGTTCTTTTCGACCATAAATATATAGTTTTCAGGGCTTTTTCTGTATGTATGGATGTTAGTGGGTGTTTGGAAGACACGATTTTGTTCAACTTCTGTAAAGCTTAATATATCCTGTGCTTTTTGCTGAAAAGTTCTGAAATTTCGCATGGAAGATTGTTTATTAGTGGCATTGACGGAATTAAAATTTGTTGATTAAAATATTAGTGGTGGAAAGATAAATGAGGTCGTGTGTATTTCAGTAGGCTCAGACGTAGTGACGAATTTATAGCTCTTGTCTAAAAATGTTTAAATAAACTTCACTAAATACCTAAAATCTGTTAATTTTCTATAGAGAATTTCCGAAAGAGTGTTAGAGCGAAACCGAAAGTCGTGTTGTACGGGGGACATCCACAATCTTCAAACCGTGTTAGAGCAAAACAGTGTTGTAGCAATACCGTGTTGAACAAGGAATACCTGTATTATAATTTATGTATTTTACAGTTTGACACATACAGCAGCTTTAATTGCTTTGATAGCGATTTTAAATTTTTAATTTTAATGTGGGGTTTTAATATTTTATGAAAAAATTCTTTTAAACTATGTGGAAATTTAATACGATAATATCTCTATATACTAATAATTTACTGTGATATGTTAAGAACCAAGGCTTTCCAAAAGGGAATGGTGCTTGGAGAAAGTACATATTGGGCTCTTATAGCAAATTAAATTATTATATTAAAGTAAAGCAAGTAAACGAAATATTGTACAAGAGCGCCCACTTCCACGGCAGTTTAAATCTTGTCTTCCCTCTGGGCGTCTCTGTTAAAAACAAATTTAAATTTCAATAATATTTAACTTGTAATGTGATCTATGTGTGTGCGTTTGTTGTTGTGTGTTGTGTTGTTTTGTATAAGTTAAATTAAACTAGATTGAAACAATTTAATCTTGAATTTAAGATTAAATTTTATTCATCTTCAAACTCAATTTAGAAAAGGACGTTATGTTATTAATTAAATAAGAATTTAAACTTTTATCAAAATATAAAATAACTAAAATATTCTATATTTAAAAGTTAATTATGAGAAAATGGAATTCAAATAAGAATGTGAACTCCATTTTCATACGACATGTCAAATTTCACGCACAGCTGGTGTTTTGATACGGAATAGTATATAAAAGTATTCGAACAGACGTGAACATAAATTCTTATGCAGCTTTACTTTCGACTCGTAAGAACTTTACTTTATAAAATCTAACGTCCAGTATATTTTAATAGATTATAAGAAGGTAAGTTCTGTCTTTTATCTTTCTTTACCGTAAAAATATGAGCGAGGAATGTATAGTACGTATCCAATTAGAAAGTAATTATTTGTTTTGGCTTTCTTCTCATTTGCAAATACAAATTGCAGAAAACATTTAATTTTAGTGAAGTAACTTTTTGTCAGGGAACATTTAAGATGTTAAATACATGAAGATCTTTACACGTGTTAAATATAGGAAAATCTTTTTTTCTTTGCTATTATAGAACTTAACGTACAGATGGTCAAATTTTGAATTTTTCCGGTTGATTTGCATTTCTCCTTGTTTGGGCCCCTCCAGGAGCCCAAAAATGTCCGACCATTTTACAACATTTCTTATCGTTGTGTGTTGCCATCTATTTTGACTATATATACGAATATTTTGAAATTTAGCAAGATTATTTGTATGTATGGGGCATTGATGGCATTAAATTTTCGTAATTAAAGATCGAAAAACAAAAAGATAGATGGGGTCAGCATTAAATCTGGAATGGAGTCATATCCTTATTTGACCCACTAGAGATATATCATGTGACCTCATTTATTTTCTAATGAAACTTTTACTCACTGTTTGCATTTACAATTCTTTTAAAAAACTCACTTCTACCCTAAAATAAGCTGTTTATTCTCTTATAATTATTAAAAATATAAAATAAATTTTCAATAAAGTCACGTAATAGAAGGCGCTACACCTAACTTTAACTTTCTAATATTTATATACTGAGAAATTCGTGTGAGTCCTTGTTAGAATATTTTTCTTTTAGATAGACTTGAAGCTGAATAAATAATTGCAATAATAAAATTTAAATTATAATTTAATTAAAATTCTATTATATCTGAAAGGTAAATTTTTAGATTTGCTTTATTAAAATTTACGTTAAATATTTCAATTATTTTTAACATAAAAATATAATAGAGACAAACTTAGATAATTTTTAACCAATTATTAATAAATTAAATTACATTTTTCCAGTATTAAAATGCTTCTTATATTTTTAGTTGTTTTGAAATTATTTTCCTGGTAAATATCATAACACGTTCTACTGTCACGTGATAAAATATAGGCCTATATAAGCACATAAATTTACCAAACGAAATGAAAACATCAATGAACATGACGTTTATGCTAGTGTTATTCATATTTACTATTGCTTTTCCTTCAATTAAATCTTTCCAACTGTTTCAACAAAGTTCAAGTGTTGGATCTGTGAATCCATATGAACATATCGTACGAGCTGTGGAGCGTATTTGTGGTAAGTGTGTGTTAGTAACATACTGTTACTGTTAGGTATTTTCATGTTTTACTCGTTAATTATCCTAATAATGTTCTGATTAATCTTATGTAAATCTAGATAAATTTATTAGAAATATATTCGTATTTTTACGTTTCTAATTTTTATTTTAATTAGCACTGAGTTTTGACGGAAGAAGAAAGTATTGGACATGCGTAATTGAAAACGGATACGAAGTTGTAAGCTTTTAAATATTCGCAAAAGTTTTATTTTAAAATTTATTTTCTATACAATCATTTATTAATATTTGATATTTAGAATTTCGAATTCTCTAATAACTGTGCTCAACAAATACGATTTTTCGATACGGATGTAGAGATCAGTGATTTCATTTGTAATTATCTGCGGTCATGTCCACAAGTAACTTATTCCTATTTCTAAATATTGTATTAATTATTATTTATTTCGTTAATTAATAATATTTATATTTATAGGAATATAACCAATTTATCAACTGTGTTGGTTCAGCTCAATATGCTTACAGTACTAACAAACCATATTTTTATCGGACTCTCGATGTGAGTATTATGCGATTAAATGTGTTTACAATTGTTATATAATTTTTTATTATATAATTATTATATATTATATATATAACGTATTAAATAATTACTACATCAATTATTATATAGTAAATAAAGTATTATACTTAGAGTTGGTTTAATTAATTTATATAACAACTAGCAAATAAGCCCGGCATTGCTCGGGCAAAAACTAACGATAGCGAAGATTAAGGTTATTACATTATAGCCAATCTTACCCGTTTTCACAGAATGCAAGAATTAATCCCCCTGTTTCCAGACTAATTAGAGAACTTTTAGATGGGTCTAAAAATATGTTCGATTTCCCGCATCTGCGCCTGTTAATCTTGCACGCCTAGAGGATTTAATCCCGGGATCTCGAAAATCGGGATCCCGGGATCCCGACTACTTTTCAGTCTCAAAATTTTCGGGATTAAGTTTTCCTAATCCCGAGATTTTCGGGATTGACATCATTTTAAAAAAGTTGCAAAATAGACTGGATGAAGCGAAACGTTCAGTGCCAGTGCTTTTACAGAATTGCTTGTCTATCATTTTAATATAAAATATGAGAAATTTTATTCCAAGCAAGCAGCAGAAATTAACGTAGCGGGCTTGCGATGCTTGCTTGGAATAAAACTTCTTGTATTTTGAACTAAAATGATAGGCAAGCAGTTCTCACTGGGTTACTTGGTAATATACTTCAGTTTTGTATTTTTGAATTTTCGTGGGCGCCAATCGATTTTCTGGCTCAGTCGAGAGCACTACTCAGTGCGTTTTACCTGTCAATGTGTCAGCCATCTTGTTTTGCCAGTGTGGTTAATATAGACCCGACGCCTCTCGCTTAGGGGGGTCGACCTTAGGTGAAAAGGTTACGACCCCCGCCTTGCCCGTGATCTGTCAGGATGATGCGAGAAAGTCTTTTTACGTTTGGGAGTAGTGGTTTGCTGGATGCTGAGAGACTCACACAGAGACCGAATTTACAAAATTAACGTGTTTATTTTTAGAAAGGCATGCTTACAATGATCGAAACAATCGGGATTGTAGCCTTTACTCCTACAATCCCGATCTGTGTCGACCGGACTGTTTTCTTCCAACCTCCCCGTGTCCTCGAAGCTATAACTAGAACGGGCTTATAAGTATTTACTAACGATTCCTCCAACTTCCATCAAACCTAAACGCGTTTTCTCAGCAGCTGCATATATGTGCAACAAATTGAGAAGCAGACTTGGTGATGAGACACAGGATGCGTTGTTATTTCTCAGATCATATTTTCGCAATTCAAATTAGAATGTTCCTATTAGATTAGTTTTCTTTATATTTAAGAAAAATGTGACTGATTAATATTATTTTTAAATACTTTTTGCTAAGAAACTTACTTTACTACCTACTTACTAGGTTGTTATATGAAAGTAGTCTATTTAGTCGATGTTAAGAGAGATTTTTGTTAATTTTCAACGTTTATTTGCATAGTTTGTTACATAAAGGTTTTTTCAATTTATGTGAGTTTAAAGAGATCTCAGTGATGCTTAAAAAAGAATAAATTTAACATGAAGACTGAGTGATTTTAAGTCTGGTTAGTCTGACTCTGAGTCTGATTAGTTAGAGTGATTAAATTAGCTAGGTGTATACTGTAAAATATGTTGATTTTTGTCTAAATTTTGATTTGTTGATTTCTGTAAGATTTTCTTATTTTTTATTAACCCTCAATACCGAAATAATCCCGGGATCCCGGGATTGACTAAGTATAATCCCGAAATCCCGGGATTAGAAATAAGTACCGGGATCGAATTCCCTATGCACGCCGCTTTCTTTTAACACTTCTATTGTTACATAACAAGATGTAATGACTGATTTGATTGTTATCCATTTCATTTTTGCGAAAATTAAAGAAAATATAATAAAACTGTAAAATAGCTGATATCTTAATTTAGAAACACAGCGTTTAAACTCTAGTAAATACTTTTAACTTGATATGACTGTTGCTAAAGTAACAGTTGTCAAGTAATGCTACTTGCGCCTGCATACAAGATTTTCAAACAGTAGAGTATTTTTCCCAGTTTATTTGTCATTATAATCAGTCATTAAGAAAACTAGATAGGAGTATCTAAATTAAACAAAAATTAGAAGCGAAAAGTTATTGTTTGTTAACATAGGCTTATCTATCACTGATATTGCATAGAAACTAAATAGTACAAGAACATTTTAACTAATGTTAACTTGTGTACAATGATTATTATACTGTTTTTAAATATTGAAATGCTTTTCTAAATTGTAATTAATTAATTTTATTAGAAATATTTATAATTGTTATTTTTCTACTTAAATATCTTTTTTTATTAATTTCATTACTCATTCTTTACAAACTTGTGTTGCACCATTCGTTAGAATAATCTTTTAAAATAATTTTTATATTATTATTTATTATAACAACTTAAAATGCTTATTTTTGAAAGTAAGAGCTAGATTCTAAACTACTGTCAATCCTAATAACGAGTAAAATCATCATCAAGTCTGATCCTACTGAAGAAACACACGATCCCCATCTTCTCATCTTCTCAACGTTTAGTCACTAAAATTTAATAGCATCAATTCATCTAATAAACAAACTTTCCTGCAAAATTTCAGAAATTCTCGACAAAAACACAGGCGATATTAATCTTGAAAAAGGGTGAACAAAATCATGCCCCACACACACCTACAAACACTAACATATACAGAAATTGCCCCAAAATTTGTTTCATTTCTCGACGTTGCGAGGTGTCCTAAATTCAAAAATGTAAAAGTCTTGAGGGCATCAGTTTCTGATTGATCTCCATACTTTCCTTCTGTTATATAAAACAACTGAAAAAGTAAAAAAAAACAATCGAAGGATTAAAATATTTTCGGTCAACTATACTTTCCCTGTATTATATTAAAGTAATATTTAAATGTAATAATTAAAATTTTTCCATCAATCTCTGGTTAGAGTTTTATTTAAATTAATCAAAAACAAATACTATTTTAATAGAAATTATGTAAAATGCAAGTATTTTATACATAAATTAAAATTAAGAGATATCTTTTGTAGGTAAATCTAAAATTTACTATAAAATTTTAATTTACTCAAATTATTTTATAAATTATTTTGATTGTTGTTATTATTGTTTTTTTCAGTCGTGCGCGGCAAATGCAGACAGATGTTAAGAAAAATCACTTCCTTCAATTCATCTTTATTAACAATTTAATTAAAAATTACATTAAGCTGATTTTAATAGTTCTTATTTTATTCATAATTGGTATATTTATTTAAATTGGTATATAAAATTGGTTGGTGTATTAATTTACATTTTAAGTTCTGAATTGATTCAAATTGTAGAATTGTATTCAATTTATGATGATTCATGATTTGCTTAAATAAAGCATTTTAATAACTTGACTATTATTTATTTTGTTCAATCAATATGATTTAGTGAGTGTCACGTGCAAAGAATTTAATACATAAAACAAATATTTATTTGTAACCGTGAATTTCTTTCAATTAAAAACGTATATTCTTTCAAAATTTCATAAATAAAAAAATAACGATCTTTTAAAAACGTGATCATTTTCAGTGATATTTATTAATTTAAAAAATGTGAAAATAGTAAATAATACAATTAAGTTCACATTGGAATAGTGACTACATCCATTCGAACAGACAAAATGCAATTTTTTACAAACGTTTTTTCTTTCGTTATTAACGTGCTGTTTCTAACCTTTATTTGATTAATTACTGTCATAGACTATTGATTAAGTCCAGTACAAACGAAGATAGTTATTAATCGGAACATATCATTAAATGTATTGAATCGCGATTACATTCGATTATAGGCCTTATTTTTTGCGTCGGATATTATTAATAGATGTATATGTAAAAGGAACTCGTCTATTGCTTGATAGGATTGTATTGTTTGGCAATTACAAAATGAGCTTTGATTTAGATACTTTCCCTCTCTTTTTGCGTTAACTTACGAATTCCGCTTTCGAGGTTATGCGCGCTGGAGATTGAAAGTAAACGATAAAGCAATGACTCAGTAAAATGAAAAATAAATATGTTTATGAATGAATTGACCCCTTTTTAAAATTATTAGCTAAATTGGTAAGAAAACTCTGCTTAGCTACTTTCTCTACTCGAGCGTGAGGCGCTAGAAGCAGTGAAAATAAATCTAGGTATTCTACTTCTTCGACGAGGAGGAGGAATTCACGGTTGTTCCTCTACTGGTCCTCGTTTCCTTAATTAAAACATAGGGATGAGAAAGAATTTGTTCTCTTATTTCGTTGTCGATCGAGGATTCCAATTCTTCTTCTTCCTCCAATTCGGGTTTTTCTTCTGAATCAGGTTGCCGAATTTCGCTGAATGCGGAATTTCTGCTAATACAAATTCATCCCATAGTAAGAAGAGAATCTTCAGATAGCGATTTCCGCCTTGCGGGATATGGGGTATATAATTAGTTTCTCTCCATAGTTTCTTCCTCTTCGAATTCTTATCGGTCTGTAGAGAGTTTTAATCGATTCGCGTGAACTTCAACTTGCCTTTTCGGATATTCTCGATTATAAAGCTGACGGAATTTAATTCTTTCACTATTTGGAAGGGACTTGACTATCTAGGTGCGAGTGTTCTCTTTAATCCTTGAGGTACAACTACGTGATTAAGGAAAACACGCTCGCCCACGATATTTGAATACTTTGTGTCAATCGGTGACGTTCTCGTGGCACCTTGTCTGCTTTCTCTTGTTCTTCAACTACTCTACGTACTGTGGCAGTTACGGCCGTTTTCGTGCCGCAACCGAATGGCCGTTAGTAATTGCTGAACTTCCCCAAGAAAGAGGTGTCATGTAACAGGTAACGGATGGGTGTCACATCGGCTTTTGTGCTCGTTCTTAGAATCGAAGGTTTTAGTTTAAAGTACGTAAGCTTGCTGTTTTTTCTGTTGCTGAAGGGTTTCGGTTTCGGTTGGCCGATCTTAACGAAAGGTACTTTCGTTAAGATCGGCCAACCGAATGGCCGTTAGTATCGTTAAGTCAAACATTTCCCTTTTCCCGTGTAGTTTGACAATTCAGAGCTTTGTCTGGTTGTCTGGCTTTTGGTCAGTAAGCTTGGTTCGAATTCGTTGAAATTACAGTCGACCCCTCTATAACGTGGGGTCCTATAACGGAAATTCCTCTAACATAGCGAAAAAATTGTAGCAAAATTCATATAAAGGAACTCCTAAAGCGTCGTCGCTGACTCGTGTCGCGACAAGAATTGATAGAATCTGGACCAATAGTGGATGAGCAGCCGAACTAGTTTCCTCCGCCCTACGCCACGCTACGGAGAGTTTAAGCGGCTACATTGCTATCGTCTGTACAGTATTATATATAAATTATATATAAATTAGGTACTGTACATATAATTATATATTAATTATATATAAATTAGGTACTGTATATATAATTATATATTAACTTAATTTATTGTAACTTTATTATAATTATATATATGCTTTCTGCCGCCTGGCAACACGCTACGGAGATTTTAGGCTAGTAAGTTGAGTTTATTATCGTCTGTACAGTATGTAAATTAGGTACCGTAAGTCTAATACAGCACTAATTTTATACATTTCTTGTGAAAGAAACATTTCTTATTCAACGGCCATAAAAATTATTTATATTAATGATGTCTCCAAAGGTCAAGTTATTTTTCTGCGAAAAATTCGTTATCAGATATCGCGGCCGCCGTTTCGTGCGCTGTTCCGCGACGAAAACAAGCTTGAGCAACGGCGTAGTCGAACGGTGCACACTCGGTAAGTAATCCTACAATTTTTTGTTTATAGCATAGTTTATACGGATTATTCCCAAAAAATTATACGTGTTTTAGAAATGTTGAGTGGAATTAGTCTAGATTCGGTTAATTTTATAGAAGAAAACCTTTCAAACAGCCTTAGTCCGTAAACTTCACACGTGTCGGGCTGCGATTGGCTCATGTATTTAATGATTTCTACAGCGTAAAATTCGATTAACGTGGAACGTATCTAAGCGTTATAGGGGGTCTACTGTATTTCCCTATCCCCCTTTTTTCGACAATCTAGGGCGGTCAGCGCATGTCGTTCGCGGGCATTCATCGAGCTACGTGCAAGGTTCAGCTACCTGCCGGTTGGGTGGTATTTTTATCACCTTCTTTTCTATAAATCACCCAAATTTCGCGTTTCTAACTTTTGTGGTTTTTGTTTTATGGTATTTTTCGTCGGGAAGTATCATGTAGGTCATTGACCTCCTCTACCGACTGTTATACGCTACTCCAACCAATACTAATTCGGTTGTCTTCGGGTCGCAAAGCAAGCCATCGGTCGTATAGCAAGTCTGATAGGCTTCAGATAGTTCATTTTCATTCGGCATAGTTCATTTCTTTTGCATTCTCGTCATATTTCCTTCAATTTAAATGGCGATTCGATCATCAGATGTGTCGGTGTGTCTTGAGAACATCGATAAAATCAACTCACAAGGTGGCCCTGAAATGTCTCAGACCTCCGTGGATAATATAGAAGAAGAAATATTAAAGGAGGCGAGATCACTTTTGGGCAAAATTATGGAGGCTTGCCTCGAATTCTCTACAATGAAAAAGCCAAAACGGATGCAGAAAAGAGAAAGCGTTTCTCAGTTGTTTGGTTGCCTCCATCAGACTATTGGAATAACTCGCGAACTGAGCCCACAGCCCACAAACAAAGGACAAGCACAGTTATACTCTGACGTTGCAAAATCTAGGACCAGACCAAGCCACAATACGAAAGTAATTTCGAAGTCTCTAAGCAACAAAGTGGAGACGGAAGGCACGGGAGGAAGTCACGCTGTGCTGCTGTACCCGAAAAGACCAGAAGGACAAAAACCAGACATAAACGAGTTAACATCGCAGATTATAGAAAACATAGATCCTCACAAACTACAAATAGGCCTACAAGTTAAAACCATGAGAAGAGTTAAAAATGAAGGGATATGTATTCGGGTGGGAAGCGAGGCAGATGGCAAGGCCCTGAAAAAAGCCATTGAAGCATTGCCTGGAGTACAGAAGAAGATAGACTGTAGAACCTCTGAAGGGAAGAAGCCAAGAATCATTATATTAAATGTGCCTAACTCAATTACGGATGACAAAGTGGTACAGGTTATGTTAGAACAGAATAAGATATGGGGAAATCTGAACATAGACAAAATAAGAACTGAATGCAGAATAAGTACGACAATTAACCATAACTGTAGGCATGTAGTCATTGCTGTCCCTCCAGGGGTACGGAATACTCTGATTAACCATCGACACATATCAATGTTATGGGCGAATGTATATGTCGATGACTATATATTAGTGACTCGATGTTTTAAATGTTGCGGATTCAACCATTATGCAAGAGATTGTGTACAAGAACAGAAGTATAGTTAGTGTGCGAAATCACATACTTACAAAGAATGTTCACGGAGACACCGCACTCCAGTGTGCACTAATTGTAAAAAAGCAAACGCTGACCTTCCAGAAAATAAACAAAGACCAACCAACCATAACGCTTTCAGCAGACAATGCCCAATCCTAAAGAAACTAAAAGAACAAACAATAATAACAATAGATTATGGACTATAATTCCCAAAGTAACACAACACAGAGTAACATCATAAGGAATTCCCATCAAACAACTAATAACGAGGCAAAAAACATCTTTAATATCCTCCAGATTAATACACAACGGTGCAAGGCAGCCTGCTCTATGCTCGTGAAAACAGCAAATGATACCGACGCTGACATAATTACCATACCGGAACCCTATACGATTCAAAACACCATCGTCAGGTTCGGAAAATGGCAAATACTAAATGGAAACAATGGAAAACCAAAGAGCGGTATAATTGTAAGAAGAGGGAATATCGATATATCAATATCAAAAATCTCTGATCTATGCACGGAACGCATCACAATAGCGATTATACACCAGGAGAACCCCATATATATAATTAGTGTTTATTTGCCACCAGATGACGACGATGAAGACTATATAAATAAGCTCGCTAACACGGTCAAAAAACTCGATCACAAGAACCTTATTATCACTGGCGATGTCAATGCAAAATCTGCTGTGTGGTTTCACGAGCAAGAGGACAGGAGGGGACGACTGGTGGAAAACCTAATGGACGAATTTGACTTGGTGTCGGTTAACATGACGACATATCCAACTTTCCACGCTCCCATTCGAAGGGGTGGACAGACGTGTGTCTTGTCTCTATAGACATAGCACACAAAGTTGAGA